GAGAGAGAGAGAGAGAGAGAGAGAGAGAGAGAGAGAGAGAGAGAGAGTAGTACAAGTGGTATGTGGGACAGAGGTTCATTTTCATAATGACTTTCATAATTTGATTATTTGATTGTTAGATTATTCCACTATATCAGCCACTTGAGTATGTACACTTCATTTGTTATATAATGATTATAAAATTATTGTAAACACAAGGTTTAATTTAAAAAAAAAATTATAATGCCAAACTATAACATGAGTGATTTTTTTAAAAACATTAGGGTTTTTTCACTATATACACTCACTAGAGGGAGAATTTTCTAAAATGGATAAATGGTTAACATTTAACATTATTGAATTCTGCAACCTTGATAACACTCATTTAATGACTATTGTTAAAAAATGTCTATCCATTTGTTTGGTTTATACATCAATGATTTATCAGGCGTGTTGACTTGAGCATTATTAAAGACTATTTCAAGGGTAATTTGGTTCTAGTGATTTTTAAAATGCAGTCAATTACTAAAGACCAGATGGAAAGGTTTGTGGCCAGCATAAGAGGTGAGGCGGAGGAGTGTCTAATTCTGCCCAAGTTAATCAGCAAAAAGAAGAAACCAACATTAAGATTTTTTTTGCACAACTCTATTCATTCCTGAAGAATGAATAACACAAACTAATTAATTGTTTATGATGCTTAATAAAGAAGTCGTATGACATTGCTGGGTTTGTTTTTCTTTCATTACTAACCACTATATTAATATCAATTAATGTGTTTATGAAAACAATAATCATTTTGATTTAATTGTAAAAGTAATCACTACTAAATGTTATGATTCTGTATAGAATACTAGCAGTTTTTAAATGGCTGGGAAAAGCTATTACAGAATAAAAAAATATTGTTATGCAGTAAGAAGCATTTAATCGTGTATTTGAATATTAGCATCCATTTCAGTTGCACCCTAAAAATATAGGCTGGGTCCAAATTAGTCAAATTCTGAACACTTCCAGCTCTACTTCAAGAAGAGCACTGGACAAGCAATCCAACTGTCTGTTTGTTCTTCCTTTGCTGCTGCAATCCTCCAAGTCACCAAATCACCGACAATAACTTTTCAGTGTGGAGGGTAATGTCTACTTCAGTGATAGCCAACCTTAGCAACTTTAAGACCCATGGCTTCAGCTCCAACCTGGATAGCAGGGGAATTTGGGAGGTCTGCCATAGTTGAACACTTCTGGTCTAGTCTATCAATGTTTTGTCTAGTATTTCCATAAAAACTGAAAACACTTGAAGGAAGAAGAAGCACTATATTATATATACTATATATATGAAATTAGAATTAGTTAAAGCTTCTATTTCATTTAGCATTGTAATTATCTTGTAAATATCATAGATAACTATTGACATGAACTTCAGTGTTATCAAAAATTTAGTTTTATTTAATATGGAGTAGAGGACAATATGCCATTATTTATTGATCTTTTTGTATTTCTAATATTCTAATATTTCTAGCATATTAGATGAAGCAGATTTGATTGTACAGTATAATGTAAAATAACACAAAGTAACTGCTACTATATATAATTGTGTGTATTTCAAAAATATTTAAAAATATTTATTGTTAGCCACATATTAAAATAGTTTGAATAATTGAAAATGATTTAAAACCAGATTTATTGCTGAATATTTAACATTTAAATGACATTTAAATACTGAATAATGAGCAATTAAAATTACTTGTTATATTAGTCAAAACTGAATAAAGTCTATAGTTACCACAAGAAGTTCCACAATATGGAGAATACTGAAAAGTCCAATATCTTTTTCTCACTTAGTATAATTAGTTTTAAAACTGAATCTAGGAAAATTCCTCTATTCATCTTGTGTAATAAAAAACTGTTAGTATTATCTGTGGCAACTTAATTCAGAATCCTGTAGTGTAGCTCCTTACCTCGAACAATCTCTTTCATTATAGTATTTTGTTAAGAGAAAGCTGTATAAATATTAGCAGAGTGATGCCATTAAAGATTATAATTACTTCTATCAAACTCTGCAAACTCCTCTTATAAGGAGTATCTCCAAATACATAATGCAGGATCAGATAAAATGCCTTGTATAGTTACATTGGGGGCAAAATTCCTACCTGATGCACGCATAAATAACTTGTGTGATTGGCTCTCATACCCACGAGATGAGTGTAGAGTAATCCAACTGGGATTGATTAACTTTGCCCTAAAATGTTACAAATAAGAAAAAACAGAATTCTCTTAGGTACATATTTATAAGATTTATAATATGACAAATTAATCTAAATTTGCAATAACTGTTCATTTACTGGTACTTAATCATCAAACGTAAAAAAAACTCTTGTAGTTTTTCTTTTGAATGTTGTAAACGTATTCCTCAGATTTTTAACAGTGTAAACAAGGTAGCAGAGACCATTCTGAATAATATTCTTTACCTTAAATGAATTTACAAGAATTATTTACTTTTAGTCCAGTTTCTGAAAACTAAAAGCAATAATAAAACACTGTTGATAATTTCAACATATCTATCCCAGTGAATTTTTTAAAGACAAAAATTAGCTATGTTGACCACAGTAATAATAGTATTATAAAGTCAGTTCAGGGTAATAAAATAGCATAGAGCCGTGATGGCAAATCTATGCCATGTGTGCCAGAGGTGGCACACAGAGCCATTTGTGCTGGCATGCGAGTCACAAGCAAACTTAGCTCACTGCACATGCACATGCCTCCCAGCTGATTTTCAGCTGGTTTGAGGCCTCCCAGGCTTGAGGAAAGCCTCTGCAGCTTAAAAAATAGGCCCATTTCATTACTTCCTGTATTTCCGAAAATACCGGAAGCGACAAAACAGGCCCATTTTTCAAGCTGCAGAGGCTTTCCTCAAGCCTGAGAGGCTGAAAATCAGCTGGGAGGCACAGTGCAGGTAAGGGGGTGGGGGATTGTGTGTGCATGCGCAGGGAGCGGGGGGGCGTGCGCATTGCCTTCTGGGTGCTGGCACGTGAGTGCGCATGTGCAAGCGCGCACACAATTTTGGGCACAGGAACCCAAAAAGGTTAGCCACCACTGGCCTAGAGTTTTCTAGATCTACACGGAGCTTTTATTAGCTAGTTGTATTTCTTTTATAAAAGTAAAAAAGGAAATTGTACCCATTAATTTGTTTGTTACAATTTTGTAAAGAATAGAATAGACAACCTAATGTCCTCTTGATATTTTAATTTCAGTCCCTGTCACCACAAGGCAGTGTAGCCATCTACAATAGAACAGCAGTTTTAAACATCTAGAGAGATTGTCCATTTCTGAGACAGAATATAACAAATAAAGGCTAAAGTCTCTTGTGTTCTTCAGCACAAGATTTCTGTCATTTTTAAACTTTAAAGTAATATCTCTTCAAAGCTGCTTCTCAATTGGTCTCTGCAAACTAGAAACATAGGTACATATTGATTACTGTGAACAAATGTTCTTTATCTTGCTACCGATTAAAACAGAGAAGTTCCATTTAAAGCCTATCCTTATTTTCATGATAATGATACTAATTATTTATCAAACTTGGGCACCACCCAACTCTCAACAACTCTGGGTAGCTTGTGATGGTGGATTGTATGATCACAGCTGTAAAATATTTCAGCATCTTAATGAAAAATGCCTTGGCCATTTATAATAATATAAAATCAAATAAGATACATGTATTTATATTAGGGGTTGCCAACCTTTTGGACCTCAGGGACCACCACACTCATAATTTTAAATCCCGTGGACCAGGGACCCTGGAAAATCCCCCCCAAAATCTGCAGGAAAATTCCCCACCCTGTTTTCTTACCAATCGATCATTCTTTATTTGGGATTGCAGGATACTTTCTCCAGCTCTGTTCTCGGGGGGCGGGGGGGAGGAGAGAAAGACTTTTGGCATCATGCAAGGAAAGCAGCAGAACCAGCAGAATTCTTTCTTTCTCTCCCCAAAATTCCGCCAGAATGAGTCTTTGCCAGCGCAGCCTCTTGGAGCAGGATGCCTTGCAGGGTCCCAAAGACTCATTTCTGGCGGAGTTTACGGGAGAGAAAGACTTTTGCTGCTTTCCTTACGTGCAGCCAAAAGCAGCAGAAGAAAGAAGCAGAAAGAAGCAGCCTGGTGGCCAGGTGAGGAGAGTGGGGCAAGTTCCCCCCCTTTGCCCTTTCCCCTCACTACCTTGTGTTGTTCACAATGCAAGTGATGCAAGCCTTGTGTTCCTGCAGGCCATGTGGGTGGCGCAGCCTTGTGTTCCTGCGCAGCCTGGATTAATTGCTTTAGAACTAATGTGTGTTTGTTAGTGTCTCAATAAGCCTTGGTCAGAACACAATGTGAATGCCTTAACTAATATATTATATAATAACTTGTATGGAGATGGGCGACTTGCAACTTACAATTGCTTCCTGCACCCAAAGCATGGTCTCTAGAATTCGTCAAAGTAGCTGGAATGTTGGGGAAATTTGGAGGATTTATATTGAAGGGCTTTCCCCAATTTAGAGGGGGAACAAAAGGAACAAATAGGCATCAAGTCCCTGCAACTACAAATATGGAAATAATTTCTTGATGTGACCCCAATCCAGTGATCCAGGAATTCAAACATTGTATATAACATCCATATCCAATCATTTTCCTTATTTTCCATCACATTAAAAAAAATCTTATTAGGAAAGTTAATTTCTGAATATACCACAGAACACTTATGGATATAAGTTCTGAATTAGTGTACTTTTTTTAAAAGAATTATTTTAATCAATTGGCTACATAATAATTAACTTACACATAAGCACACAGAAGACTGTGATAAGCAGTAAGAGGTGGGTAGTCAAGGCCCCAATACTGTAAATTATTGTCACTGGTGTTAAAGTACCTGAAAGATAAAGTAAAATAAATATAATATGTTTGGCATATTTTAGGGACAATATCTCTTTTATTTTCTTATATAAAACTGAAGCTATTTTGTGACAGCTTCTGAGAAAGCAAGCTTTTTTCTTCCCCCAAATCATCTTTGGACAGTTTTCTGAATAAGTGTTTCTTAAATAATAGTCTTCAGAATGATGATGGAAATAAAATTTGTTTTTTATATTAATTATACATAATAGTACAAGATGCCATTGTGGCTTTAAAATCTTAAATATAGTTATAAGATTTCACAGGGGTTTTCTAGTCTTCCATATAGGTTTTCCTATATTTAGGAAAAACCAAGATCTAATTCTCTTACTTTCATTGGAAAAAACACACAAACATCTGAGATAAAAAGGAATGATTGACTGCTTTTGTCAGTACACAAACTGGTGCCGTTAGAAGAAAAAACTTCTCTATGTCAAACATGTTCAGATGGTACTCTTGTCTTATAGAAGGATGAGCTTTTGAAAACTAATTGCACCTTAACAAAACGTAAAAAAAATTGTTGACTCTACAGAATTTGAACACAATAAGTGACAAGCATCACGAACCTGCTCAAGACTTATCAATAGTAACAAATTCAACTGGTTCTGTAAATCCTCTAGAGAACAATACAAAAGTGCAAAGGCAAAGAATGTTCATTTGGGGTGAGCCTTCTGTATTGCACAATTGAGTGAAGAGTAACCAGAATTTAGACACATCTTCAAGTTGAAAGACTTCAGAAGATTTTATGCAATGAAAATAAAAATTACAAAAATAAGATATCAGAACCTTTAAATTTGTGTGAAACAGAATGATTAGTATTTTATAATTGCCAGGGGCAAGTTCTTAGTTTTTCCAGTCTATCCAGTCAAATGCAGCCAGTTTCTGACATTTATTGCAATAAATGATATTTCTTGAATACCTTATAAGCAGCCTGAAGTATCTTATGAACAATTCATGATAAATCATATTTCTTAAAGCTGCATCTCTACCCTTTTATCCCACTATTTAAATTTTCTCACACTGGGACAGTTTTAACTTCTTCATTACAGTATTAATATTCTGCATTTTACTTGTTAATATCTCATTTATTCATCCAGCATTGCCCTCTAATTCAGTCTTAAACTCCATTAGAAAAGGTTCGTGCATACTGATGAAGAGAAGGCTAAGAAATTCCATATTTCTAACTAGCAATAAGGAAGAAAAGATGCTGTCAAGATTGTCTTTGATAAATATATGCATGGACTCCAAAGCAAGATAGGGAAGGCAGAAAGATTTAAATTCATGCCTCTGGCTCAGGAAAACCACATATAGGAAAACTACATACAAATCATATTTCTAGTTTATTGCCCACCTTTTTAATATACTTTGCTTCTGAACAAAGGAGGCAAACGTGAAGTACATGCAATATCACTTGAGTATATATGCATAGTGTTGTCACTGTAGTCTCTTCAAAGGCAAAGACTTTCTAGAAATGCCAAGTTACACGTATTATAATGAATCACAAAATATTTGATGCTGTTGTAAAACAAAGCTAATATAATTGCTTTCAAATATACTTTTGATACTACTATACCCTATTATTCAGCAATACATGAAGGAAAATTCTAATTACCCAAGAATAAACTAGTGGAAAGGATTCAATAATTGTAATTATATGTTTTGATGGCAGCTAAGTGCACTTTCACTGGCTCTTATTCTCTTACTTGTAAGTTATACAGATTACGGATTAACAGATACTTATTAATCTTTTGGAACTAAACATTTTTTTTCCCTCTCCCATCACTTCATCAAACCCAATTTGCCCATAATTTAAATATATTATTTATTATTAAGTATAAATAGAATTTGCACAAATCATTTCCCTTTATTCTATATTGAAGCCTTATACTGAGACAATATTAGCTCAGCTTTTAGACTGTGTGCTCTAATAAGGAACACATCCCAAATTTATTAGTCTTAGTACTATCTTTTGTTTTAACCATGGGAGGAAATGTTGAGTCTGAATCTTCAGAAATTAAAATAATACAATTAATAAACATTAGTCTTTAGAATATTAAAGCAATACATTTAACAAACATCAGGGCTGTGCATATTTTGAAAATTTCATGTGCATGCAGCCTCTTTTTGCCATTCATTAAAACAGCCCAGCTTTCTTTAGAATTTTGTGTGGGCCTGAAAAAGGCATATTTGCTTTAGAAGAACTGAACTGTTAGTGTTATCCTGACTCTTAAGCACCTTCAACTTTGAAATAGAAGTTTGAAAAAAGAGGGGCTACTGGCTGTGACTGCATTCCTGCAATGTCCAAAACGTGGCACCTTTCAACCAGTGGTGGGATTCAAATTTTTTTACTGTCAGTTCTGTAGGCGTGGCTTGGTGGGCGTGGCAGGAGAAGGATGCTATAAAAACTCCAGTCAAAGTGGTATTTGCCAGTTCTCCAAACTACTCAAAATTTCTACTACTGGTTCTCCAGAACTAGTCAGAACCTGCTAAATACCACCTCTGCTTTCAACTCATTTGCAAAACAGGCATACCTTAATAAGGCAGAGTGGGGGAAGGACAGAACTTCTATATCACGGTCTCTTTTTTTCTTTTTGAATACTTTATTACATCTGGAAGATGAGAAAAACTTGACTTTCTCCTTCAGGCAGATTCTTCTATTAGCATACCCTCCCAATCATTATCTGTCCTGAATCATAATCTTCCCTTATCCATGATATGTTGAGATAAAAGAGAAATACTAGATTACTAGTTTTTCCTAACTAAAGCTTCAATGCTTCATCTTTCTCTCTGGTGCTTTGCTCATCCAATGGGTAAACAGGAATGTAATACACTTATCATTTTTCTCCTCTTTTCGGATTCCAATCAAACTAGGTTTCTTAAAGCGAAGCAACAGCACAGAAAAGGCCTGTACATCTATTCAAAGGCAGAGCATAAGACATCAGATATAAAACCAAAGATGAGAAACCAATGCTTTCTACTACAACTCCATATTTTAGAAATGGAATTTCTAAACTATGTTTCTATAATACTTGCAAATCCATTTAATAGTTTAATTAATCTGCCTAATCATTATAGATATAGATACTTGATATGATTACAATGACATCTTTTGAGATAAATCTGAACAGACATAATGTAGTAAAGTGGATCTGAAAAATAATTACATTCCTATAATACTATTTGGGATATCGTGTTGAACAAAAGTTATCTCATTTCTATATAATTATGTACAAATCTATATGGTCCAGCTAAGATTTTTCCCCCATAACCTATGGGCGCTCCTTATATACATTGAAATAAAGACATACCAGTGTTTGACTGGCAGATTATAAGTAATTTCTTGCCAGTGTCTTTGAGCTTCATAGTCTCCATACATAGGTGGTTTTCCTGCACCTAAAACACATAAGGAAGAAAAGATGAGAGATATGTTTGTGTGCTTATTTGTTAAACTACATGCGATCCATTGTTATGATTCTACTAGTATTTTTATTAAATGCTTGAGAAACGATGTTTTCTATTCTAAATGTGTGTCCCTGTTAAAGAGAAAATATTTCAAATCCTTTCAAATACAAAAATGAAAACAATATTGGTATTCTGCTGTCTGAAACATACAATCACACATGATAGTATACATACAAAATCCATCTTTGGTGTTTCTTAATGTAGCACCCTGTCTCCTCATTTCAAAGACTTATCTGACCAATAGCATGCAATATATAGCTTTATCTTCTGATCTTCAAGAAAAAGAATTGGGGTGCTACAGGAATGCAAAAAGACAGCCCTATAATCTCTAATTGTAATTTTTGGACCTAATATCTGGTTTCCTCAAAAATATGGTCCCTGCTGCATACCTCCATTCATTTACTAATGTAAATGAAGGAGATAAATACAAAAAAGCGCTTTCTTTGCTATTGTAACATTTTATGCCTGAGTCAAATTCAGTTTGAAGTTGTACCAGTTTTGTATGTAACAAACTAGGTTCCATTTTGCTCAATTCTACTTGCTATTCTCCCAGCCAGTACTGAATAGGCTTCTTTTTAAACAAGATATAAGATATATGAAACAGTATAATTGTTGTAGCATCCAAGTAAATATCTAATATATACAATTATTCATTTCTTGTCTACTGATTAATGAAATGACATATATATTTCAGCTAACACATTATAACTTTACACAAATCGAAAAGTTTCTTTTAAATCTAGGAAAGACTTTTATCATTTTTTAATATAATTTATCTTTTAATAGTTCATACATTCAAGAGAAGGGTAATATTTGTCCCTTTGCAACATGGGACAAGTTCCACAAGAAATGAACTTCTGGAGCAACTAAACATCATTATTGCCTGAGCATAGGCAGACAATTATTGCCTTGCCTTGCTTTTTGGTGAAGAATTGCTTTTAGTGCAGACAAACATATGCACATATAACTCTTTTGCGGTAGGGATTGGGAGAAAAAGCTGCCAATCAAAACATGTTAAAGTTATTATTAAACAGATGCAGATCTTCAAAATAGCATACCACTGTTATTTTATTATAAGTTACCCTAACCCAAAGTATAAAATACAAATTATAAAACCTCTCCCCACCAAAATCAGTTAAATACCAGCATATTCTAGCCAGCTGCATTAAAAAAAAACATGTGCAGACACAATAAACAGTGCCATTAACTTGTGCAGACCCAAGTGTCTGAACGAATGGTTGCAGGTTGAAGATTACTTGTACTATGCATTTGTTCATGCTAGATTTTATTAGTGAGTTAAAGAATAATAGATTAATCTATCTTATTACAGATAGTTCTCATTTAGCAACTGTCTCATGCAGCTATTATATACCCTTGACTGAAGATTGGTACACTCTTTCTTTATGGGATGGTCATCCTCTTCCACCAAGTGTGCAGCTTTCAGGAAGAAGTACATGGAGTGGTGAGGGAGGAAAGAGGCACCTGACTAGCCAGTTAGATCAGAAAAATCAACCCTGGTGATCAATACATGTCATAGTTAGAACACCCTCACATCTGCCTCATATAACAGCTATTTACCATTACAATCTTGATAACAAGGTGACCAATACTCACAGTCCTCATAAGTCTATAAAGCAAAGGCAAGCTTAAGTAAGTTCATAGGCATAATCATTTGGTGACTATTTCACTAACAACCGAATAGCCAGTTCCAATTGTGGTAACTAAATAAGGACAAGGAAGAGATAACTTCAATAAGTCTTTTTATTTATTTTACTACTAGTCTGAGCATAAGAAATACACTGCTCAAAAAAAATAAAGGGAACACAAAAATAAGACATCCTAGATCTGAATGAAATATTCTTATTAAATACTTTGTTCATTACATAGTTGAATGTGCCCTGACAACAAAATCACACAAAAATTATCAATGGAAATCAAATTTAGCAACCCATGGAGGTCTGGATTTGGAGTTACACTCAAAATTAAAGTAGAAAAAAACACTACAGACTGATCCAACTTTGATGTAATGTCCTTAAAACAAGTCAAAAGGAGGCTCAGTCGTGTGTGTGGCCTCCAGGTGCCTGTATGACCTCCCTACAATGCCTGAGCATGCTCCTGATGAGGTGGCGGATGGTCTCCTGAGGGATCTCCTCCCACACCTGGACTAAAGCATCCCCCAACTCCTGGACAGTCTGTGGTGCAATGTGGCGTTGGTGGATGAAGCGAGACATGATGTCCCAGATGTGCTTAATTGGATTCAGGTCTGGGGAACGGGAGGGCCAGTCCATAGCATCAATGCCTTCGTCTTGCAGGAACTGCTGACACACTCCAGCCACAAGGTCTAGCATTGTCTTGCATTAGGAGGAACCCAGGGCCAACCACACCAGCATATGGTCTCACAAGGGGTCTGAGGATCTCATCTCGGTACCTAATGGCAGTCAGGCTACCTCTGACGAGCACATGGAGGGCTGTGCGGCCCCCTAAAGAAATACCACCCTACACCATTACTGACCCACTGCCAAACCGGTCATGCTGGGGGATGTTGCAGGCATCTGTCACATGTGCTCAGTGTGAACCTGCTTGCATCTGTGAAGAGCACAGGGCGCCAGTGGTGAATTTGCCAATCTTGGTGTTCTCTGGCAAATGCCAAATGTCCTGCACGGCGTTGGGCTGTAAGCGCAACCCCCACCTGTGGACGTCGGGCCCTCATACCACCCTCATGAAGTCTGTTTCTGAGCAGCCACATGCGCATCTGTGGCCCGCTGGAGGTCATTTTGCAGGGCTCTGGCAGTGCTCCTCCTGCCCCTCCTTGCACAAAGGCAGAGGTAGCGGTCCTGATGCTGGGTTTTTGCCCTCCTATGGCCTCCTTCATCTCTCCTGATGTACTGGTCTGTCTCCTGGTAGTGCCTCCATGCTCTGGACACTACACTGACAGACACAGCAAACCTTCTTGCCACAGCTCGCATTGATGTGCCATCCTGGATGAGCTGTACTACCTGAGCCACTTGTGTGGGTTGTAGACTCCGTCTCATGCTACCACTAGAGTGAAAGCACCGCCAGCATTCAAAAGTGACCAAACCATCAGCCAGAAAGCATGGGAACTGAGAAGTGGTCTGTGGTCACCACCTGCAGAACTACTCCTTTATTGGGGATGTCTTGCTAACTGCCTATGCTTTCCACCTGTTGTCTATTCCAATTGTACAACAGCATGTGAAATTGATTGTCAATCAGTGTTGCTACCTTGGTGGACAGTTTGATTTCACAGAAGTGTGATTGACTTGGAGTTACATTGCGTTGTTTAAGTGTTCCCTTTATTTTTTTGAGCAGTGTATTTTTATTTAAGTATTTTAATATCACAACTTTCAGTTTTTATTCCAGAAATGTCTACTGTTGCAAGTCTTCATAATAACATTTCCTGTTTAAAAGATGATTACCATAAAATGGATAGTGTCTAAAGAACAGAAATATATTCAGGTGTTAAAAATATATGATTAGAATCAGTGGCATATGAGAGAAGAGCTGCCTTTACTAAGCTCATATCCACTAGAAGAAGTGAGCAGGAAATTCTACCCTATAAGCATAGCATTCCAATGGTAGATTTAAAACTATGATCCAATAGGCTAAATATATAAAAATGAATTCTCCCCCCCACTTCCTCCAATCTTTTCTTTTAGCATATAATCAATGGCAAAAATAGATTTATTGAATAAATAAGGTCAGCAAGTCTACGGAGATTCTCAGTCATCCAGGTCATGATTATCCCAAAGGTGCTTTTTTAAGAGACAACTGCACTTTCTGGTTATTCTTTGAAGATGTTTCACTTCCCATCCAAGAAGCTTCTTTTGGGACAAGGTCAGCAAGTATGAGCTTATTTTCTTCTTCACATTAATATCATTGAAATATGATTTCAATCATATTAAAGATATATTAAAATAGTGTGGGGGGGGGGAGAGGCAGAAGGCCATACAGTACTTGACTTCTCAACTGCATGCCTCCCAGACACAATTTAAGGTGTAGGTGAGATAAGACCAGCACAAAAGTAAATCTGCTTTAATTTAAATTTAATTACATTAAATATTTCATTGTTGTTGTATTTTTACATCAAATAGTTCAGCTAAGTGCTTCCTGGACTTAACCCTATGTAACTATTAACACAATAATGAAATATTAGTCTGTTCATATGAAGATCATTTTTAGATCAATTAAAAATGATCTAAGTTTTATAAGATGCTCAAATAATACAGCATTTGTTTATATCAAACAGATATTAAACATGAAATGCTCAAGATATAACTGAATAATATTGAAGAATGAGCAAAGATAAGATATATATTTTATTTCTATAATTTTGTTGATATTTGCAGTTCTATAAAAATACAAAATAGCTGTTCATATTTCATACATTTTGTACAACTATCCCATATTAAGAGTTCCCACTATCACAACCTGAACTTTTAAAGAAAATTATCTCCATACACTAGCTCAAATTTTGAATGTGTCTTACCTGAATAAGGACCAAGTGATACAGTCCAGCGAACAATAAGTCCAAGTAACACAGTAATTGTGATTAAGCTCCATTTTTCCATAGCTGGTCTTCGGTCCAGACCTGGAAATAAGAACAATAATATTACACACTGTTTTACATTAATTTAGTCCTAGTCTATTACCATAATAATACCATTTATCTATGATATGCACAACTCTGTTCTAAAAGGCAGCAGCCCAATGTGGGCTTTTAATAATATTATTATGGGGAAAATAAAATCAGTGAAAGCAAAGAGTGAATTCAGCACAGTATCAGAGGGCTATTCTGCAAAAGCCAGAAGTGCTATTGAATCATAGCAATAGCACTTAGACTAGATGATTATTCCTTTCTCTGCTCCTTTCCTTTCTCTTTCCTCTATCCTTTTCTTTCCTGATGCAAAATTGCCTAGTAAGAGAGTAGAGCCATTTCTGCTTTACCAGGCAGCCGACTGGGTTTCTCAGATTTAATTGCAAAGACACTTGAGAACCAGTCTATGGCATGTGGGAGCTACCATAGTCCAGAATAACTGGCTTCTGTAAGACTGAAATGGGCAGTGGGGATAGCAAATTTTGTGCTGAATTTAGTTATCTGCTGGCTCAAAAGCAGATGAATATCATTTTAACTGAGTCATAGAGAAAGGGCCATATTACCCAGACTACCCAAAGTAATGGGTAGTGGACTATAGAAGGAACAGATCAGACATCCAGCCCTTGGTTATCCATGGAGACTGAGTGGAGCAAGTGGCCAGTTTTAAGTTTCTGGGTGTTACCATAAAAGAGCACCTGACCTGGGGTGCTCACATTGCAGGACTGGTCAAAAGGGCCCAGCAGAGATTATACTACCTGAGACTTCTCAGAAAGCAACAACTGAATGAAAAACCGCTGGTGACCTGCTACCGCTGCACCATAGAGTATCTTAACTTACTGCACTTCTGTATGGTTTGCCAACTGCACAGTGGCAGATAGGAAAGCACTCCAGAGGGTTAATGTCATTGCCCAGATCATTGGTTGCCCTCTCTCCTCTTTGGAAGAGCTTTATGCTCCTGCTGCCTTAAGAAAGTTCAAAACATTCTCAAAGGTCCATCTCATCCTGGGCACCCTTTTTTTGAACTATTACCATCTGGCAGGCAGTACCGAATAATAAAAACAAGGACAAATAGGCTGAAAAACAGCTTCTATCCCAGGGTAGTAGCTCTTTTGAATTCTAATGTATAGTGCAGTGTTGGGGGTTTTCGGTTCAATGTGTGGAGAGTGAAGGATGTGTGGTTGTGTTTATTTTCATGGTCATGATATGTACTGAAGATGGTGTTTGATTTCGTTGTACAAGGTGCAATGACAATAAAGTAAACTTAATGCATTTTAGAAAAATTGCCAATATAAAATTTGTCATTCAGTGTACAATATTAAACCAGAAAATTGGGTTGAATAAACCAATGTCAAGTATACCATGGGTACACAATTAAACCAAAGTATCTATCTCAAAATATTATAGACCTAAATCATATTACATTTATCATTCCATATTAAACCCAATAATTGTCAACTGAAAACTGTGGTATAGCAGCTTGCATGAATCCAGTCTCTAATTTTTGTTAAAGCAACCTTCTCCAGTCAGGAATCATGCAAATTGAAAGTCCCATCAATCCCACATGCCATATCAATGACTAAATTCATGCAATGCAAAGAACCACAAAGTACTCAATCACTTTTAACTGTGTAATTATTTTATGATTCAGTTTATATAAATGCAGAATATGGCAATGAAGAATGCATGAAAATAAACGGAATTATTAGCAAAAGGTTTGACATCAAAGAAGGAATAAGACAAGGATGTGTAATTGTCCTGAATTGTTAAATATATTTATATATAAATGTATAAGAAATGCTTGTGGAATTATTAATGGGAGGGGGCTTTTTCTTGCTTTTAGTGGTTTTATCTTATAAGTTTTATCTTATTTGAAAGACACCAAGAGTTTGATTATATTGCAGTGAGGCAATAGTTAATAAGTACAATGTTAGGCAGAATGTGCAACATAACAAGGAGTATGGCCCTGAAAATTAAAGAATCAAACAACAGAGTTGTTGTGTTTGGCAGGAAATGTGGAGTGAATGATTGCAAATTGTAGATGGTAAAAAACTATAACAAGTAGATGAAATTGCACACTTGATAGCATGTGGAAATGGTTGGAGAAATATTGGTATAAAAATAGTAGGTGATACATCAATATGTGTTTCTATCAGGAAGAAACATTTATCAAAAGAAGCAGAAAAAATAGCAATGTTTGTACTCTCTTATTGGGCAGTATAAATTTGATATCAAGAAAAACAAAGATGAAGGCAGCAGAAATGCAGGCAGTGGATATGTAGTATTTAAGAAGTATGTGTGGAAACTGAGTGTTAAAACAAGATATAAAAATTAGAAAAAAGTAGGTGCCAAATAAACATGAGTCAAATAAAGTAGTTAATTGCCTGCATGAAAGCAGTATATTGAAGTGACTTGATCATAAAGGAAAGAAAGTAAAAAATTGAACTTCAAAGAGATTTGAAGAGTTGACTGAGAGGAAAGGGAAGACTGAGAAAGTTGGAACTGGATCCTCAAAAATGGAAATGTGAAAAATTTCTGGAAGGCAATACATAGGCATGGTAGAAGCAAGATTGATTCACATGGATAGAAAGATAGGTAATATCTTGAGCGGCATCGATGCAAACTAGTTTTAACTATACTGTACACTATTTCCTTCTATTTCACATTTTAAATTGTTTGCCATTTCCCTGCTGATGGCAAAAAATTACATACAAGAAAGGGACTAGCGTGATGGGGGTGTATGTTTATTCAAGAACATGCGTTTATACAAGATTGTAGAAATATTCCAGACTGCAGGAGAATTATTTAGGAAGGATCGTTGGTATTTATGAAAGGAAACCAAATTAGGGTTCCTGTGAATATTTAACCACATGCAACCTGCGCATGCAATTACTTTTAATTCAGAAAGATTTCCTATGTCACACCCCACACTGATGTTGGTGGGAAGCACAATCCCTATAGGTTAAAAACAAACAAAAAGCTCTTGAAGAGGAAGCTGTTCACGATCTCTGTCCTGCTATAGTTCACGAAAGCTCCTCCCTTCCTCAATGGAAGGTTCAGCTCCGTATCCAAAGTCGCCCTTGCCTCTGTGCCTGCAGCACAGCCTTCCACAACAGGGCGCCCTCCAAATCAGCACATTGATGTAAATCCCGGCCGTTGGCGAGGCTGTTGGGAGTTTTTATCAACGGTTCTGCAAGCTGAGCACCCACAAGGGGGGAAAATGTAGTCCCTGACTTCCCCCACCCCCACCCCGAAGGGACACAAGCGCTTCTCTTAACAGGAAACGCCAAGCCCCATCGAGCTATCGAGCGCGTGCTCTACTCCCCTCAGGAGCGCTTATAAATTATAACTCCCGCCTTTGCCTCGCGCCGTGCCTGCCACCGCCACCGATCTCCCCACCCGCCATTGGACACTCTCCGACTCACCGAAACTGACAGGCGCGAGAGGGGGTTCAATGGGCGTGCGCACGACCGGCCCGCTCATTGGTCCCGCCTTACTGGCCGGCGGCATGCGCAATAGATTTCTTGAGTGGGTGACGTTGCGTATTCTCTGCTTGTTCAGTTCAGGCTGAGTTTTACAGCCGAGACGTCAAAATTAGTGAACGTGGTTGCTGATTTTAGATGAGGCTAGTTTCGCAGGACACGAAGATAAATTTCTGTGTCTTTACAGTTACGACATTAAGCTATTTAGTTTGTAAACAATAAAAATATAGCTCGCTGTTTTTATTTAGACTGAGATCGCACATTACACTGTACTAAGCTATGGATTTATTAATCATGATTTCTTAAATAAGCCACGTTATTGTAGTTGAGTATCATTGTGCACATCCAAATGAGAGAAATAATACCCAAGGAAAAAAATTAAAAAGTGTATTAAAGGTGGTTTGGCACACAAGAGAGGTGCACAAACAATTCCACTCCTGCCAAAAATCTCTTTTATCGTGTATCTTCAGGCCAAATTTTATAATTACAGAACACGACAAGCAGAAATAGATCACAGTCTGATCAGATATATAAGTCATTTGTATTACATTGGCCAGAGTCTTTAAAAGCCTGTGGAAAAAGTGAAGCAAAGTAAGCAAAAATGGCAAGATAATGTTTCATTCATTCATTCATTCATTCATTACACATTTACATAGCACCCATCTCACAGTGTACAACTAAAGCATAAAAACCATATAAAATTACACTGCATTAATAAAACTGAGTCATAAATAACAAATATAAGCTAAGTTTAAAAAATGGGAGGGGGGGGACCAAAAAGATTATTTACGCAGGCACCAGCTGAAGCTTCCAAAAATTCAGGGGTAGACCCATGCAGAGGACATTGCAGTAGACCGTATGGGAAATGACCAGGGCATGAGTGATTTGAGATAAGGGCTTCCTAATTCAGGTAGAGAGTGGCGTAACTGCTGCACAACACAAAGTTGAACAAAGGCCACTATTGTCACCTGCTCTTTCAGCAGGAGTCATGAGTCCAGGAGGTCTCTATTACATACCAGGTAGGTCGGGCCAGAGAATAGCATGTTCTGCTATGGCTTATCTAGTCATATTTCATCTCCTTTTGCCTAGTGATTTTACTTAACGCAATATTAGTATTAAAATTACGTTTGGTTGGGCCCTTTGTAAATTCTGCTGTTTTATGGTCCTATATGAGATTCATTTATGGTAACTCAAGTGTTGATTTCTATTTGTATTGGCTCTATTCCTCTATCACTGTGTTCCTAATCCTGTTTGCTGAACCTCAAGATTAAAATAGAAAATAACTGCTTGACAACTTCACTTTAGAAGGATCTAAGAGAGTGGATTTCTTTAACCTTAGTTCTTTTTCTTAAGGTTAACGCTGATAAACTGATAGAATGCATGAAAACATTAAAAAGTCCAACTGTTTATCTCTAAGTTGGTAATATATGTTTTAATGCATCTCCAACAGAACATCCTGGCATTAGCCAGGTTTTCTTCCCCAGTAATCAACTTGGCTAAATAGAATAAAAAGAGAAGAAAAGGGGATATGAATATTAATGGGAAATATTTTGATTTCATTTCATATATATGACATTTCAAGTAATCAAAATCCTAGTCCCTGTTCACTAAAACAGTTTGGCTATTATATTTATGTATATGAGATCAGTATCAATGATTGTTGTTTGTTTTTAAGGCATAAACAGGAATATCTAAATTACATTAAAATTGCTGTTTCAGAAAGATAATGGGGCAATTGCTTGGAATATGACTCAGTACATGATTCAGTACTTGAAATAATAAGATGGAACAATATTCATGCTGAATACAACTCATTAGTTAGTCAAAATATAAGCCCAAGAAGTAATTCATTTGTATCAACTTTAGTGGGAAAATATAATGGAGGGGAAATCATTTACACAGCATGCAGTGAGAAAAAGGGAAAGTTGATAGTATCATTCAGCCTCCAATCTTCTCACAATCTTAGAAAGTCCATATTCTGAAATCTCCAAACACTGAATTATGGGTAGCTATCTAGCAAAACAGTTGATGCCTGCATATATATTCCATTAATGCAATATGATTAAGAGGAAGTTGTGAAAGTTGCTATTTATGGAAAGATTAATTCACTTAGTTTGCTTATGTTCTTACACCTGATTTTTCTATAGGGTTAGAATTATTGTAATCTTTAAATTGCTTACTGATAAGGTCCAGTTTACCTGGCTTTATGTTAACTTACTCTTATCCGTGCATGTGGTGAATCAGTAAATATAGTCACTTTCCTTGTGCAAAGAATTGCAAAAATATGGATTGTTTCTGACACAAACTCTAGCCATCTCTTATCTTCTCTCTGATCTTCCATTTTCATACTTCCATCTAATTTTATCCATCCAGCAAACTTCTGCAATCATCATCTAATTCACTCTTTAACCTGATTAAATGAAACCCTTGTCATTTATTTATTCAAATTAGAAAATGATTAGTTGGTCTGAACTAAGACATGCTATAAAACTGTGTTTTCTCATTTGGAACACCTGACATCTCAAATAAGTTTGGAGATATTAGAAAGACAAATGTTTTCTGCATGGTCAAATATACTTATTAATTACTTGTATTTATTAACCATCCTTCCAGAAGATACTTAGACCAATTTAGAAGAGAGTTTGAGAATATTCTAGAATAGCAATAAAATGGTTCTGCTTAACTTTCAGTCATTTAAGAGCTGTTAGTTCTACTGTGTGGTGTGAATCAGGGCTGAAATGCAGAGAATAAAATCCCATCAAATTTGTTTCTCTCTCCCTTTAGAATTTATTGCAAAATCTGTTTGCCAAAATCTGTTGGCATCACTTGATGCCAACTCCTCCTAATTAAGCCAAGGAGCATATAATTATCAAAATCTGAATTGTACATATTTTTGTTCAAGAGAGCAACACATTTGGAACTTTTTATGATTATCAGTTTTTCCAAGCACTAAAAGAGTGATATCTTCTAAAAAGATACAGAGCACTAATAGTATTTATACAGAGAGTATGTATGTTAGTAAGTGTCTAGTGTGCAGTGTAATGTAGATAGATATGAACTTAACCTGGGCATCATATCAGAGAGAGAAACAGACTTTTCAGTCATAAAATATACTTAACTGTCTATGTAACACTGGTGAAATCATTGAAAATATATCCAGTTAATCCAACCTCTGTTTTTTTTTCAAATAAGAAATTAAAAATTTCTAAAAGGTCATTAAAATAGATTGCCTTCAGCATCAAATGATAGTAATAGAGAAGGCTACTTGTTTATAGTGGTGTTTGACCAATACCTGTTTCAGGCAAGCAGTTCATCACTTGATCTGCCTTGGGCAAAATGAATTTGTCTGAACAATTAAGAATTATTTTCAGGAATATAGTCTGGCCTTACAATCATGGATAAACTTCATCAATTTGATTTCTTTTACGAATACTGCTTGAATGTCATCACATCTTTAGAAAATAAGCCATTGTATTATGTTTTTTCCCCCAGAGAATCAACTATACAGTCTAATATAGGACTTCTCACAACAAGTCCCATCTGTATCAAGACAATTTGTACTTCCCAAGAAGTCAATATTTTAGAATTAGGATATACTTCTTTCAATCGACCAGACTCTGCTAATGTCTGAACCCCCAGAGTCTGTTTGCTAATATATTTATTTTGTTCTCTGCTCCCACTACTAGGAGTGCTCTAAATCCAAGAGGAATTTAAAAGTGATCTTTGCTACAACTCCACCTCCCACCTTTCTATGATTTACAAAAGTTATTATAAAGCTTTTTTTTTTTAGATGCATTATAATTGAATTTCATTTTGGAAGATTGACATCTTCCATCTCTCCATCACTTTAGCTGAATTATGCATCCAGGGTGCATAAGTGGACTAAGGTGGGGATGGGAAAAGGAGGACAGGTCCAGAAAGTGACGCAGTGTGTCGAAAAAATTGTTGGAAGAAATAGCCATCTGGTTCAGTTCCAAGTGGGGAGAAAGACAGAAACATGGAGGCTGATTGGAAAGATGGTTTAATGGAGTAGAACCATCAAGCACATGGTCCTGGTGCAGCTGAACACATGGAGCGGTGAGTGAGGATTATTTATACCCTCTCTGGCCTTGCCCTTGACCTTCCTGTTCCTTTGGCAAGGACATGTATTCTATTGGTTGCTGTCACACTCCCATGGGGCTATGCAGGGGCCATAGCTGATTTTGTAGATTGTTTTATCTGAGTCAAGCTTGGTTGAAGCTTGGGCTAATGCAATGAAGGGGCTTGTTGTGCAGTTTCTATTGTGGCTGAATGGCTTTGCTCTGAAGGATAATCCCATCATCCTGGAGCTGAAGGTCTTTTGCTTTGTAGATAGGCTGGCCCAGTCCTTCTCAATGGGCACCAAATATCTGCTGGGGGAAGGGGGCCGAAGCTCTGATTTTCTGTCTTTAGAAATATGTTTCTCCTTTAAGGAAAATATAATATTCTTCCTTTTAAATATTTCCTAAAATATTTCATTCTTCTAAGAGGGGTGGATGCAATCTTTCTACATTAGCATGCAGTGGCTGCCTTTCCAAGTCATTTCTCCATTTATTGCCTCATCTTCCTTGAGCAGTGCTCTGCTGTGTCCTCCTTAATCTCCTTCCCAGATAACCACAATTGTAATTGTTAGGCAAGCAATCCAAGAAAGATTTTAGTAGTCCTAGTATACCCTTGCTTAAATGTACGCCAGCAGTGTGCTGCAGCTACCCAAAAAGGCAACACAGTCCTAAGCTGTATCAACAGAGGAATAGCATCAAGATCATGAGAACTGGTAGTACCACTCTATGCTACATTAGTGAGGCCGCACTTAGGGTACTGTGTCCAGTTCAGGTCACCACGATACAAAAAAAAAAAAAAAGGATGCTGAACCCCTAGAAAGAGTGCAGAGGAGATCAACAAAGATGATAAGGGACCTGGAGGCTAAATTGTACAATGAAAGGCTAAGAGAACTAGGTATG